TTTCCTTTGGTCTTGACTTTTGCTATATGCACAATAGGACAGTTTGAAATACTCCCGAATTGACCCCACACTTGTACCAGATTGGTTTCTGTTAGAAGTGGTCTGCTGGGGCAGCTAGGTGGTGCAGTGGATAGAGCACTGGCCCTCCAGTCAGGAGGACCTGACTTCAAATCCAGTCTCAGATCAGACACTTCACACTTACTAGCTGTGTGACCCTAGGCAAGTCACTTAATCCCAATTTCCACACCAAAAAAAAAAAAGTGGTCTGCTTTTTTCTTTGTATATTAGATGCAAATCAGCAACTTGTCTGTGATTGAGAGTCTTAGTTTTCTAGTTGCTTAGGGCATTGAGAGGTCTTCACCAGGTCATCTCCTTGTGTCCCTTTCAAAGAGGATCAATGACATGAAGAGTGTAAAGACACTGCCCGCTGGAGGCAGGGCTTGAATCCAGACTCCAAAGCCACCACCCACATCTAATATGTTAAAATATAAGTTCCTTGAAGAGAGGGAATGTTTTATTTTTGTCTCCTTTCCCCCAGTACCCAATACAGTGACTGGCACATAGTAGATGCTTGTTGGTAGGACATGCTTGTTGATTGACTGAGTGACTGACTCAAATTTGAATAGGCTTGACCAGATGGTACTGTAAGATCCAGTGATCTGCATCTGCCATGGCTAGAAGCTGAGGATTTGAGCCAAGTGAAATTGATTCTTAGTGACTAGTTCTGCTCCATTGACCCATTCTTTTTTTTTTTACTTTATTATTTATTCATTCATTTCCCCCCCACTTAATAGTATTTATTTATTCATTCATTCATATTTCCCCCACTTAATAGTATTTTACTTTTTCCAATTACATGTAAGGATAGTTTTCGACATTCACTTTTATAAGATTTTGAGTTCCAAATTTTTTTCTCCCTCCCTCCCTCCCTCCCCCTTCTCCAAGATGGCATGCCATCTGATATAGGCTATACATGTACAATCATATTAAACATATTTCCACATTAGTCATGTTGTGAAAGAAGAATCAGAACAAAAGGGAAAAACCATGAGAAAGAAAAAAACAACAGAGAAAATAGTATGCTTCTATCTGCATTCAGACTCCATAGTTCTTTCTCTGGATGTGGATAGCATTTTCCATCATGAGTCTTTTGGAATTGTCTTTGATCATTGTATTGCTGAGAAGAGCTAAGTCTATCAAAGTTGGTCATTACACAATGTTGCTGTTACTGTGTACAATGTCCTCCTGGTTCTGCTCACTTCACTCAGCATCAGTTCATGTAAGTCTTTCCAGGTTTTTCTAGTTTTCCTGCTTATCATTTCTTATGGAACAATAGTATTCCATTACATTTATATACCACGACTTGTTCAGTCATTCCCCAAATGATGGGCATCCCCTCAATTTCTAATTCTTTGCCACCACAAAAAGAGCTGCTATAAATATTTTTGTACATGTGGGTTCTTTTCCCTTTTTTATGATCTCTTTGGGATTCAGACCTAGTAGTGGTATTGCTGGATCAAAGGGTATGTACAGTTTTATAGTCCTTTGGGCATAGTTCCAAATTGCTCTCCAGAATGATTGGATGAGTTCACAACTCCACCAACAATGCATTAGTGTTCCAATTTTCCCACATCTTCTCCAACATTTATCATTTTCCTTTTTTGTCATATTAGCCAATCTGATAGGTGTAAGGTGGTACCTCAGAGTTGTTTTAATTTGCATTTCTCTAATCAATAGTGATTTAGAGCATTTTTTTCATATGACTATAGACAGCTTTAATTTCTTCATCTGAAAACTGCATGTTTATAACCTTTGACCATTTATTTATCAATTGGGGAACAGAATAAACTCTTGTTTTTGTTTTTTGCTAGGCAGTGGGGTTAAGTGAATTGCCCAGGGTCACACAGCTAGTAAGTGTCAAGTGTCTGAGGCCAGATTTGAATTCAGGTTCTCCTGACTCCAGGGCTGATGCTCTATCCAATATGCCACTTAGCTGCCCCCCAGAATACACTCTTAAACAATTCATTTACCTCTCTGAAAATCTCTTTTCTCTTTCAAAATAGAGGAATATAAGGGACAGCTAGGTGGCACAGTGGATAGAGCACTGGCCCTCTAGTCAGGAGGACCTGAGTTCAAATCTTGTCTTAGACCAGACACTGGACACTTAGTAGCTGTGTAACCCTGGGCAAGTCACTTAACCCCAATTGCCTAACAAAAAGAAAAGAAAAGAAAAGAAAAAGAATAAATAGCACTTTAAAATTTGCAAAGTACTTTACAAATATTAGCTTCTTTGAGCCTCACAACTACCCTGAGATGTAAATGTTATTATTATTCCCAGTTTCACAGAAGAGGAAGCTGAGGCAAACAGATGACTAAAAGTGACTTGCCCAGGTGAGGCTGCTGAGCCTCATTCATTCATTCATATAATAAGCATTTAAAGTGCTACTAGGCACAGGGAACACAAAGAGAAAAATAAAACAATCCTTGCCCGCCACGAGTTAACACTGTTAGGAGAAAACGATGTGTACACAGAGAAATATTTTTTTTCACTTTGTATATATTTTGTAATTTGAGGAACATTAATGCCTTGGGGGATCAGGATAGGCTCCTGTAGGAAGAGGTACTTGACCTGAATCTTAAAGGAGGCTAGGGGTTCTAGGAAGTGGAGGTGAGGAAGGATCCTATTGTAAGCCAGGGCAGCAGCTTGTACAAATGTCCAGGGATGGGACATGGGACCCTGTGCAGTGTCACCTTCAAAAGGTGAGTTTGGATGGAATGTAGAGTGTCTGAAGAATGCAGTGAGCCTGGAATGGCCAAACAGAGCCAGATTAGGAAGAATTTGTCTTTTATCTATGCTAGAGGCACAAGAGCTTCTTAAGCAGGGAAGTGATGTGGTTAGACTTGTGGTTTAAGAAAAGCTGAGCATGGCAGCTGTAAAGGAAGGATTGAAGAGGGGAGGGAATGCCTGCAGGGAGATCAGCAAGGAGATTATTGAAATAATTCAGATGAGAAGTGATGAGTCTGAACTGGGATGGTAGCTGTGAGTGGAGAGAAGATCTTTTGGATATGGAGGGTAAAGGAAAATGAATCCAAGTATGATTCTGAGGTTGCAAATCTGGCTCCTGGTAGGATAGTTGTGCCCTTAATAGAAACAAGAAAGTTAGGAAGAGGGGAGGATTTCTGTAGAATCTCCATAAGTATACAGACCTTTTGTATCTCTTGAGTTCTATTTTTTTGGAGATCTACATCAAAGCAGTAGAACCAAAGAATGTGCTTAGTACAAGATAGCCAGGAAAAATAAAATTCTTGAGTTCCTTTAAATATCTTCAAATCTATGTGTAGGAAAATCAGCAGTGAGCTCCTCTCCCATTGGTGTAAAGGGACAATTTCTCTTTCTTCACCTGCTCACCCAGACAAATCTCAGAGCAAGCATCTTTGCCTTTCTTATCTCTTACATATTAGGGTTGGGTTGGCAAAATGAATAGGGTTCAGGAATCTCAGTGCTGAGTAATTGAATGCTATCATTGGAAGAGGAAACTTGATCATTCAGTGCCTGGCAAAATAGACCCTTAATAAATGCTCTTTGACCAATTTGACTAAATCCAATCCCCTCATTTTACAGATGGAAGTCCAGGGATGTTAAGTGACTTACTTGCCCCAAAGTCTTCTACCTTGTTAATGCCAGAGCTGGGACTAGGACCAAGGCCTCTTGACTTCTCGTCCAATTATCTTTCTAGTACATTATACTGGCCAGTCACTTTTCTTATTTGCAGTTTGACCCAGATGGAACCTAGGTAAGGGATGGGGCTAAAAGTTGAGTTTGGAGGGAAGACTTGTTATCTGAATAACTCAGGGCAGGGAAAATGCTGTGTCTCAATCAAATTGATAGCTTTGGATATTGGAGACCCAGTAAAACAATTAGTTGCAGTCAGAGATACATTTTTGATATGTTTAAAAAAAAACTTTGAGAGGATTTCTTGGAGTCCTGAATAACTCTTACCATAAATAAATATATGACAGAAATCATACGATAATGAATTTGGAGCTAGAAGGACCTTGGAAGTCACCTAACTCCATTTTACAAATGAAGAAACTGAGGACAAGAGAGATTAAGTCAGAGGTGGGTCCTCTGGGTCCTCAAGTATGGCCCTTTGATTGAATCCAAACTTCACAGAACAAATTCCCTTAATAAAATGATTTGTTCTGTAAAATTTGGACTCAGTCAAAAGGCCACACCTGAGGACCTAGAAGGCCACATGTGGCCTCAAGAAAGAATTCATACCCAGGGTTTCTAACTGCGAATTTAGCACACTCTGTACTCTACTAGGTTGCCTTTTGTGGATGGGAGAGTAAAGAAGGTGCCATGGAGGGGGACGAGGTAGGAGAAGCACTTTGTACAGTGGTCTGAAGGACTGGAAAGAATGTGACTAAGTTAAGGAAGGGAGTAGGTGAACAGGCAGCTGGGATATAACTTAGCCAAAAGTAAAGAGAGAAATGTTGTTGGTTCTATCCTTGGAGCAATGTAGCATTAAAGCAAGCATGCACTCCCTCCTTAGGATTAAGAAGATTGAAACCCAGCACTGCAAGATGCTGGTAAGGATTTTTGTCTTTAGTAACCATACAAATGTTTCTTCGGGAAAACCAATGGGGTAGATCAAAATAGGTGCATTACATTAGTTCACATTTCTAAAGCACTGCTCCCTTTATAGAGGCTTCCTTCACACACACACACCTTCCCCACCCATGTGAGGTAGGTAGAGTATAATTATCTTCATTTTATACATGAGGATACCGAGGCTTATATAAGCTTAGTGATTTTTTCCTCTGATCATACAACTCAAAAGTGTCAAGACTCTAGACTCCAAGATTCCTGAACTCCCATTCCAGTGCTCTCCAGGGATTTCAGGAACCATAGGAATGGCAATGAGATTTCTTGCCTCCTATACCAGTAGCTGCTGCAAAGATAGCATGTGACCTAATACTTGCCCCCTCTTCCACAGGTTTGAATGCTGGTGCTTTCTATGCCCTATCAACGTTACTGAATCGCATGGTGATCTTCAACTACCCAGTAAGATATTTGCTCAAGGATATGTGTGGGTAGTTCATGGGCAACTTAATATCTTCTCCAAATTCTTCTGTGACTTAGTTTCTCCATAGTTAAGGTAGGACCAGTGAATTCTAGAAATGGGAGCCTAAGTGTTGGTACATGAGGAACATGTTCCTCTTCTGAAAAGGTTGGGATACAGACACTCTTTCTGCCGCATCACAATATCTGCAGCTGGAACAACATGAAAAGGGAGAAATCTATCTCTTGTCTTTGCTTAGCAGACACACTGCCATCTTCTCTGGGCAGCTGGCTTTCTAATGGGGAAGATTACTTATTTCTGTGCCTTTAGCCTCAATATCCTTTGATTTTATGTTGCTTTTGGTTGCTCCCAGATCTGAGTGTGCATATGTGTGTGTGTGTCTCAGGGAGAAGAAGTGAATGCTGGCAGAATTGGCCTGACCATCGTCATCACAGGAATGGCTGGGGCTATGATCTCAGGCATCTGGCTGGATAAAACTAAAACATACAAGTAAGTCTCTTTTATTTTTTAGGCATTTCGTTAATGGATACTCTAGCCTGGGGGTAAGAGTAAGGAGGGGGATGTAGGCAGTGAAGGGAAAAGACACAGTGAGGCTTCACTTCTTGCTTCCCGAGGCAGCTGCATTTAAGGGGAGGAGGTAGAAGGAAAGAAAAGCAGGAAAAAAGGCCAATAATTGATATTTGAAATTTGTTTCACATTTTTGTGGCCTGTGTTCTCAGTCTGTGTAGTGTAGGATCACAGATTTAAAGCTCGAAGGGACCAGCAGACCAACTGAGACTCAAAGAGGCTAAACAATTTGCCCAACATTATGCAGGTCTGGCAATGGAAGGCTAACAATAAGTGGCAGACTCAGGATTCAAACCCAGGTCCTCTGACTTAAGAGGTTCTGAATCATTTTTGTGTAATGGACTGTTTTGGCTTCTGGTGAAGCTGAGCAGAATAACATTTTTTTTTAAATGTAAATAAAAAATGCATAGAATTACAAAATAAATCAACTATAGCTATCAAAATATTAAAGTATAGAAAAATATATGTACATACAAATACAGATATATAGCTATCAAGATATTTCTTAAAAGGTCATATACTCCTGGTTTTAACCCCTAACCTAGTGGGTATGAACCTCCTCAGTTTTTCCTTGCTTTTGAATCTTCCCACAGAGCAGGACAGTACTAGGTACATATGGTATGCTGTACACAGTTTTTGCACATTTTTTCACTGCATGAAGGCAGGGGGCACTAGCTACTCCCTACGCAGAGTATTGCAGCTTCCTCTTTCCAGAGTTCACTGTGGTGACACTGGGGAGACAATGAAATCTTTGGGCCTTAGCACTACCCCCAAGCCATTGGGCCTAGACACCAGATAATTAGCACCAATTATACATACATACATACACGTGCGTGTGTATTTGGATTGCACCTGTGATTTCATTGGTATAGTCTCTCTCTCTCGTTTTTGTTTGTTTGTTTGTTTGTTTTTTGGCGAGGCAATTGGGGTTAAGTGACTTGCCCAGAATTTTAACAAATTTTTAAATTTAATTTTATTTATTTATTTTTGCTTTTTGATGAGGCAATCAAGGTTAAGTGACTTGCCCAGGTCACACAGCTAGTAAGTGTCAAAGTGTCTGAGGTCAAATTTGAACTCAGGTCCTCCTGACTCCAAGTCCAGAGCTGTATATACTGCGCCACCTAACTGCCGCCTTAGTCAGTCTCTTAAACATTTTTAAGTACTTTCTATGGCAGACACTATGCTAATTGCTGAGTAAAAAATTTAGTATAGAAAATTTCTTGATGAAAAAAAAGCAAACCAATGCAGATAAGCAACTGCTCTTCAATTTAGAATTGTCTGGGACACTGGGAGGTGAAGTCATTTGCAAGAAGCGCAGTCCAATGGTAGGAAGCGTTAACATTGTGGGATGGTCAGGTCTATGACACGCCTTCTGGTTTTATACCAGTGCTTCTCCTCAGGGAAGGTTTGGCCTTGGAAGTTGAGAACTATATTATGCTGGTTTGTCTTATTTCACTTTACTCTGAATCCCCTATCCTCACGCTCTAACCCCCTTGTGGAACTTGGTCCCAGAAGAACTTGTAAATGATGTCACTACGTCCTCCCACTGCCACCCCCTCCTCCTACTCTTCCCAAGTAGAGAATCCTACTAGATCCCTAGAGCAATCCATTATCAGCTCTCACCTGGACTATTCTAGTAACTTTCTACTTGGTCTCTTTGCCTCAGGCTGCCCACAGTAGATCAGGTATCCTTTGGTACACAGATCCATTTTCTAGTTGGGTTGCATTAACCTGCTGGTTCTTCTCTTGCTTGTCAGACCTGTCCTCAGTTTCCTTTGCTGGATCTTCATTCCGAACACATCCACTAATCATGGCTGTTTTTGTCCTGGGTTCTCTTCTCCTGTTTTCTTCATACTCTCTCACTTGGTGTTCTCATCGCCTTTGTTATTTTGGTGCAGATGATTCTCAGCAGTTAGTACAAGGCTTGGTACATAGAGTCTAAAAAATGCTTGTTGACTGACTGCTTGATGAACTTGTGGGAGTGGTTAGAATAGTGTTCCCACCATACTATTTCATGCATACACAGCTACTTTTTTTTTTAAGTGGAGAGGTTAGTGGGTAGGGAGGGGAGGAATAGAGGAGGAAGAAGGCTGTTCACTCTCAGCTGCTTCTGACTGCTCAGTGGATTCTATTTCTGTGGTCACAATGCTTATAGCAACCAAGACAACTGCCCAGGCAACCCGAACTCCTTGAATCAACTGTCACTTGAATCTGAATCAATAGGAGCTGTGTCCTTATTGATGCCCCTGGGTATTTCTGAGCTTCTGGATAAATGTTATAGAGCTCCAAGTGTTTTTCAGACAAGGAAACTGATGGGGCACTGCAAGTGTGCTGGGAAAGAGATGAGGATATTTGGAGGAGAACTGGGGCTTGTGGTGGCACCAGGAAAGGTTTTCCTGTTATCACAGGAATGAATTAACTTGGAGAAAGAAAAACAAGAAGCAGGTGTGAGCAGAATCATAACTCACAACTCTGGCACCTTGGAAAAGCAGCGTTAAATGTGCCTCAAATCAGCTTTATTATTTGTGATGTGAAAAAAAATACAAGAATTAAGCTAAATTAAGTCAAATGGGGAGAAATAGTTACTATAGTGACCTAATGGGTACAGACTCAGAGTAGGAAGTGATCTCAGGATGTGTGTATCAGATGAGATATGTGTAAAGTGCCTGGCACATAGTAGGGACAATATAAGTGCTAGGTGTTGTTGTTATTGTTATCTAGTCCAGCCCACAGGATTTGGGGGTCCATCCTCTTTCTGTTTTACCCTAGGGGTCTTGGCCAACAAGGGAAGAGGGAGAGTAGTACCAAGGATTTTTAAGGCAGTAAAGAGGTTGCTTCTCCTAGAGAGGAGGGAAGGGAGAAACTGACTACAGGTAGGGGCACAAGGGTAAATCAAGTTTTTCTTAAAGGGAGAAAGGGAATGAAGAGGTTCCAGGGGTAGGGAACCTGAGGCCTTGAGGCCACATGTGGCCTTCTAGGTCCTTGCGTGCAAACTTGTGATTGAGTCCAAGTTTTACAGAGCAAATCCTTTTATTAAGGGGATTTGTTCTGTGAAGTTTAGGTTCAGTCAAGGGGTTGCATTTGAGGACCTAGAGGGTCACTTGTGGCCTTGAGGCCACAGGTTCCCCACCCCTGGTGTTTTCCCAGCAGCCATGTCAGAATCTGAACCTTTTTCTTTTGCCTCACCAGTTTAAGATCTCATTCTCTTCATCTCTGACTATTATACTAAAGGAATAGTTAAATAAAGTCAAACAAATTAATACTTCTTATGCACTATGTACCTGACACTGTGCTAGGAATACAAATAGCAGCAAAAAAAAAAAGACAGCCCCTGTCCTCAGGGAGCTCCCATTCTAATGGAGGAAGATAGGGATTCTTTAAGGAAGTTGAACAGCAGTGGGATGAAGGGAGGGTAACCAGGTCAGGCCATGGTGGAGAAAGACGGTCTGGAGAGTCAGAAATGGAGCATAGAAAGGAAGAAGGGAGTGAACATCGCTGGCCTGGGCACTTTCCTTAAAATGGAGGAGTTGACCAATTAGAGGAATGGGTGTCAGCGGCATTTGAATACTCAAATGGAGCTGTGATCTCATGAATTCAGACATATTAGAGGCAGCTAGGTGAATATAGTGGATATAGTACTGGGTCTGGAGTCAGGAAGGCCTGAGTTCAAATTTGACCTCAGATACTTACTAGCTGTGTGACTGTGAGCAAGTCACTTAACTGCTGTTTGTCTCAGTTTCCTCATCTGTAAGATGGAGATAATAATTGTACCTACCTCCCAGGGTTATTATGAGGATAAATGAAATAATAATCATAAAGTGCTTAGCACAGAACCTGGCATATAGTAAGTGCTATACAAATATAGCTATTATTATTATCATTATTATTACATAGTGATATAATAATAGCTATTATTATTATTATTCCCTTTACATTTTCCCTACTTTCGCAATAGGAGGTCCACCTAACCTGTTGAAGGCCTTCTTTACTTCCCCTTGACATTGTAATTGGGCTGTTCACAGATAAGTCCTTATTCTTGCTGTATAACCAGCTTCTCTTCTTGTCATATGATTAATTAATATATCTTTTACTTCTATTCTTCTTTCGAATTCCTCATAAGTTCTATGTTGTAGCCTGCTTCAACTTACCATGCAGTTCTCCTTTCCCCTCTGCTTAGGACTCATTCTTAAGTCTTCGAGGCAGTTGGAATACATGAGTTAAAAGAATAGACAGATTTAATGTTTGTGCTGTCTAAATTTCACACCCTAGAGCAAAGATCCAATGGCATGTTGGGGTGTGAGTCTGTGTTATTTTTTCCTTGAGATACAGATGACGGGGAAAGGTTGTAGAAGAGATGAGGATTCTTACAGGGGTTATATCCTGTTTCTTTAGCTTTGGAGTTAGAAGAGTAAGGCCTCTTTTAAGCATCTGACTAGATTGCCTGAAAGAAGAAAACCAGATTAAGGAAGACAAGCTACAGTTTGCTGACACTATGCAAAGCTATAACGAGAAGTAGCCTCAGATGACAGAAGAGGAGGCAAAAGCAGCTCCGTCACCCAGTATTTCCACGTGGTTTCTGGTCAAAATCAAGAAAGTAGAGGCAAGATTGTCATAATCATAGGATCTGACAGTAGAAGAGCTCTTACAGAAGAGCATTCAGTTCAACTCTCTAATTTTTCCACTGAGGAAATCAATGCCCACAGAAGTTATGTAATTTGTCCAGAATCACATAATAAGTTGCAAAATGAAGATTTGAACCCAGGTCCTCTGTCCTGAGAGTCATTGTGCTTTCCACTTTACCACATGGTCTCCTATGACCTCCTTGCTTCTACATACCCATACATGTTGCTGTCATTTAACTATGGACACTGGGATTGGTTGTGCTGGGGTATGGAATGATTTCTAGTTGTTGAATTGGAAATGTCTTTGTTGCTTTTGTTAGGACAGGGCAAGGAGAGACAGTGTTGTATGTGCTGTTGAACTGGAGTGGCAGCCAGGCCCCTGGCTCTGTCATCTCCTAGTCTGCATGTCTCTGTGTAACTGTCTTAACTGCTTGGCCTCAGTTTCCTCACTTGTAAAACTTGGGCAATGGTGTCTGCCTTTTGTATTTGATAGGATTCTTGTGAGGTTCAGATGAAATAATTTACAAGAAAGCATTCTGTAAATTACAAGGCATGATTAACATATTAAATATTGTTAATGATACTTACAGGCATCATGGTGTAGCAAATAGGAGACTAGCTCTGGAATCAAGAAGATCCGAATTCAAGTCCCATCTTTGACAAATTTTAGTGGAGTGAAGTCAATGGAATTGACTTCTAGTAGACACATTTCTATTGGAACTCTATTCTAGCGGAGTGAAGTCAATTACCTTTTCATTATCCCTAGGCAATTTTCTAAGACTTTAAGTTAGTGATGAATTGTCAGTCAGAATTAGTGGTGGGAATTTCCATGCTACAAGCTCCTCATATTGATGAAATACAGGTCCAGATTCCCCTACCCTTCTTTCTCCTGACTTTGTTGTTGTTGTGAAGTTGTTTTCAGTCATGTCCACTCTTCACAACCCCCATTTGGGATTTTCTTGGCAAGATAACTGGAATGGTTTGCCATTTCCTTTTCTACCTCATTTTACAGATGGGGCAACTGAGGCAAACTGAGTGAAGTGACTTGTCCAGGGTCACACAACTAGTAAGTATCTAAGGCCAGATTGGAACTCAGGGAGATGAGTCTTCCTGACTCCAGGCCTGGCACTCTATCCACTATGCCACCTAGCTGTTCCTATTTCCTGACTAGTTAGTAATAATGGACAAAATCCCAGCAGTGAAAGTGGGCTGCCTCTGGGATAGTCCCTGAGTCTTATTCCTGCAGTCAGGGAAATCTGGACTTGGAGTCAGGAACATCTGAATTCAAATCCAACTTGAGATGCTTACCGTCTGTGTGACCCTGGGCAAGTCACTCAACTTTTATTTGCCTCAGTTTTCTCATCTGCAAAATGGGGATAATAATAATAGCACCTACCTCCCAGGGTTGTGGTGAGGATCATATGAGATAACAATTGTAAAGCACTTGGCAAACCACCTTAAAGCACTATAGAAATGCTACTTGTAATCATGTTAAGAACTCTTTTTTGTGACAGTTCTTCCTCGCATTTGTCTTTTTAGAAAGATGTCATGGATGCTCCCGTTTACCTTCTTCCCACCTAGAATGTGGTGTAGGGCTACAGATTCACTTTGGGAAAGTCTTGGTGTACAGAGGCTTTCCTCTGCCCAGTTACTAAGTTGTTTGCCACTATGAGGAAAGACACCCTTGAGTCCAGGAAGTACATCTGTCAAATATGCTTCATAAGGTACAGGTCTGATCAGTACTCAACAAGGAAAATGTGGGGATTTCCTACTGACTCTCTTGCCTCTTGCTTCCAGACAAACAACAGTGGTGGTTTATTCCATGGCCCTGGTGGGCATGGTGGTGTTTACTGTGACCTTGGGTCTTGGATACCTATGGGTTGTGTTCGTCACAGCAGGCATGCTGGGGTAAGTTGCTGCTACTATATTTTAATTGGCAGGTGATGTCCCCTTATCCTTCAATACACTGGCATCTTGGGAAGCAGTATCTATTCTTTCCTGCCTTCTCCAATCTGTAATATGGACCAAGTGACCTACATGCTGACCTTTACAAATGGGGCCTTTGTTCTGCTTGAATGGGTAGTACAAGTCAAGGGCCTTGCGTCTTTAGGTCCCTGTCACTTTGCTGGGATAGAATAAATATCAGGACACTTCCTCTTCAGAGTTCTTTTTGGTGTCTTAGGAGCTTTTAGGTCCTTTTTCTAGGATTCTATTCCATGTTTATATGCTATATTTAGAAATCCCTCAAAATTATTTTGTAGAAATAACTGCTGAAGAATACTGTTTTGTCTGGTCTCTGCTTATCTCAGGGAATTCTCCCTTTGCCCCACCACTCCTTCCCTGATCTGTTCTGTAAGAAGTTGGAGCCTAGTAAGTGCTTGATTGATTGACCTTTGAGGTTCTTAGTCAGCCCACCTTATTTATAGATGAGGGAGCTAAGGCAGAGAGGAGTCAAGTGACTTGCTGGGTTACACAAGTGTCAGAGCTGAGATTCAAACTCACTTTCTGTAGGCCTTTCCTCTAAGGTTACCTTGTATTGTCTACTTTGCATATGTCTTATAGATACCATTACTTCATATGTATCTTTGTATGTGTCTCATTTATCCGTGTATGTGTTCAGGGAGGATTAGCACCTCTAGCTATGAGGGCTTTCTGAGCCATTTTCAGGGCTGCTCATCCACTTTTGGTGCCCCTCTGATTCACTGTAGCCCCAAGAAGCTATAGCATGTGCAAAACCTGATAAAACCATTTGGGCAGATGGTCTAAACCAGCTTGAGGGTAACTGACAGGCCTCAAACCTGTCAGTGAATTAGGGGGATGTCCACCCCAAACTTGTGAAGACTTCTCCCTGTGGAATGGGTAGATGAAAAAAATTTGTTTCAAAGGCCATGAAGGCGGGTGAAGCAGGCACTGTGAAATGCTTAGAGCAAAGTCAGACATCAAAGACTCTCAGATCATCCACTGCATCCTGGGACATTGCCAGTTGTCTCGACTTTTTTCTTGCCACTGAACTCTGATAACTCTGGAAGAGAGAGTGAGGCACGACTTTGTGCAACCCCGCCTCACTTAAAATCCAGTTCACCTTGTGATATCATTGGTCCTCTTCAAAAACAAAGGATGAGCAACAGTAGTACTCCAGGCACCTAGTCCTGCTAGGGAGCCATTCCTGGAGGAGATGCAGGTCAATAGGTTTGGAAATAGGAAACAGTAATCCTGAGGCTCTCAGCTAGAGTTGCTGGTCTCAGTTCAGTCATCTTGCTGTGTCATAGATGTTACTCGAGAGCTCAGATACTGTATATACTTTCTAGCCTGTGCCACAGTGATGTTTTTCCCCCAGTGACCAAAATGTATTAGAACTGACAAGTTGAGCAACTTCTGCTGAACAAAGTCTCTCAGTTAAAGAGCTGAGCCAGGAGTTCTCAATATTTTTTGTGTCATGGACTCCTTTAGCAATCTGGTAAAACCTATGGAGCCTCTCTCAGAGTGTTTTAAAAGATTAGAGGGATTGCTCACCTTCAGTTAGAGTTTGGCAAAAACAAATGATTTTTTCTGATCCAAATTCCTGGACATCTTAAAATCTCTGGATGCAGCCCCGGCTAGGTATGCTAGGTATCCTGGCACTGTCTATAAACATCGATCCATCCTTGATGGCCTGCATAAGAAGTTCTTCCTGAATTGCAAGGGTCAGCTGAGTACGTGAAGCCAGCTGCTTATTTCCTTTCTGTGTTGTGATCAGGGCCTCTTACACTCTATAGGGATGGCTTGATGCCAGCAAGGACCTGGCTACTGGAATAAGGCAGATGAAACAGAGAAAGCGGAGTGGTTTTTGGGCTAGACATAGAAGAAAGGGAGTGGGAAGGGAGAGGAAGAGGACAGAATTCTGTGTACTTGTTGCTCCTGTCTCATCCCCTCATCGTAGAAGCTGTTCCTGTAACATTGCCTTTAGGTTCTTCATGACGGGGTACCTCCCACTGGGGTTTGAGTTTGCTGTGGAACTGACATACCCAGAATCAGAAGGAATGTCTTCAGGTCTCCTTAATGTGTCTGCTCAGGTATGTCCCATTCTCCATTCTTCTTGGCTAGCTGTGGTTGAAACTCTTTCCCAACAACTGCATCTCTTTCAGATGTGATAAAGTTGATCAGATGGATCGACTGGATTTTGTTGTCTGTTTGTTTTGTAGTTTGTTTTTCCTCTATGTCAATCTCCTTTCTTTCTGCATTTCCAGATATTTGGGATCATTTTCACCATCAGCCAGGGCCAGCTCATTGACCACTTTGGAACACTGTCTGGAAATGTCTTTCTGTGTGCCTTCCTTGCCTTAGGGACTCTCATAACTAGTAAGTTGTTGCTGTTGTTTAGTTGTTTTTCAGCTGTGCCTGACTTTTCATGTCCCCATTTGGGGTTTTCTTGGCAAAGATATTGGAATGGTTTTGTTATTACCTTCTCTAGCTCATTTTTGCAGACGAGGAAACTGAGGCAAACAGGGTTAAGTGACTTGCCCAGGATCATACAAGTAGTAAGTGTCTGAGGTAGGATTTGAACTCAGGTCTTCCTGACTTCAGGCCAGGTGCTCTATCCGCTGTTCTACCTCACTACTCTAACTAGTAAGTAGGACTGACCAAATGCCCAGGGCTTCCAGTTCTTTGGTGTGATGGTAGAAAGCAAGGCTGCCGGCTAGTTAGGATCACTAGAAGGTATATATGTAGCTAATCAAATCTGGGTGAAGAGTACACAATCTGCAGAAAATGACCTCCCTTTTGTCAAGTTTATTGGCTCTAGAGGCTTACCAACCATGTTGTTGATGGCTAAGCTTCCCCTCTAGGAGTTTGGGTGCCATGATAATAGGCGTTTATATAGAGCTTAGAGATTTATGAAGTGCCACAGCACTTAGGTTATGTTACAGTGTAATAGGATTTCATGATTGTCAAAAACCCTTTGAGGTAACCCCTACAGATATTACCTGTATTTTACAGGCTTATAGATTTAGAGCTAGGAGGGACCTTCCAGAGTCCAACCCCCTCATTTTACTGTTGAGGAAACTGAAGATTAGAGAGGTTAAATGACTTGCCCAGGGTCAAAAAGCTAATGTCACTGGTGAAATTAGACCTGCAACATCCTTTGACTCAAAGTTGAGTACTCTTTCCACTGTCATATTGCCTTTGTTTTGTGGAGAAAATGCCTTCTGCACTTGTCCGTGATAATAGCTCACTTAATGATTCTGTATATCTCTTCTTCTCCTCTATGCTCAGTGTTCATTAAGGCAGATCTTCGGAGGCAAAATGCAAATGCGTTACCTAATAATGTGAGTATGTGGATCTCTATATTATATCATGGTTAGTCATGATCCTTGGGTTCTTACCTAGGGGCCAGGTAGGATAGAGGCAATAGGAAAAACCAGGGCATCTTGGACTATTAGAATGAATGATTATGCTTGTGTTTTGAAAGAGAATGATTTCAGAGGCTAGAGGCAGGAAGAGTTCAGACACTATCAATCAACTACCAGATGCTTAACTCGTTCTTCCCCTGATGCTCTCACCTGGACCTTTCTTTAGCTTCCTTCCCACAAAGGAATGAATGACAAAATCCTTCCTTTTCTCAGACTCTGACCCCACTCACCTTCAAATGACATGTAGCTGCTGTTACAGAGTCTGCTAAGAAGGCCATCCCCAAGGCCTTCTCACTAGCTGGCACGCAAAGACAAAAACTTGGTTTGTATCATCATCAAGGAAGCTGAAACCCAGAACTCTCCTACCATTTGGGAGCATTTCAGAGCGTATTGCTTGGGCTGATGGATGGATGATATGTAGAAAGATTGACTGTGATTATGACCGATATAGGATTAGAATTGACAGGGATCTATTAAATCCACAAAGGGACAGATCAGCAGAGCAAGAAGCAGATTGGAGGTAGAAGTGTAATAAATTGATTAGTTTGACCTAGAGTAGGAAATTATGCCCATTTCTTATAATCAGCTGGAACCAAGTTAAGAAAAGGTTCAGGGGCACCTAGGTGGCACAATGGATAGAGCACCAGCCCTGGAGTCAGGAGGACCTGAGTTCAAATCAAATCTGGCCTCAGATACATAACACTCACTAGCTCTGTGACCCTGGGCAAGTCACTAAACCCCAATTGCCTAGCAAAAAAAAAGGTATAATACTATGTCTAGGACAATTAAAATGGGGGTTGTTTTTTAGTGTTCTGAAGGCAAGTGTTCGAATGAATAGGCTCCTGATGAAGTGGCTAGATCATCAGACCTAGAATCAGGATGATCTGAATTCAAATTAATCCTCATATACTTACTAGATGTTTGACCTTGGGCCTGTCACTTCACCTGTCTGCCTCAGTTTCCTCATCTGTAAAATAAGGATAATAACATCTACTTCCCTGGGTTGTTGGGAGGATCAAATGAGATACTATTTGTAAGTACTTTGCAAAACTTAAAACAGTATATAAGTGCTATCATTATCATGATTATTATTTTTTTTAATCAAACATCTACTGGAGGGTAGCAGGTGGCAGCAGGAAGGGAAGAGGAGAAGTAGTGCCCTCAGAGCCTAACCTTAAACTTGGTCAACTGACAAGCATTTCTTTTTTTTTTTTCAGGCAATTGGGGTTGAGTAACTTGCCCAGGGTCACACAGCTAGTAAGTGTCAAGTGGTCTGAGGCCAGATTTGAACTCAGGTCCTCCTGACTTCAGGGCCGGTGCTCTATCCACTGCACCACCTAGCTGCCCCTGACAAGCATTTCTTAAATGTTTACCATGTGCAAGTGCCACTCCATGGGGACTGGGAAAACACTTTTTTAAAAATATTAGGCAGCCATTGCCCTCAAGGAATTTAATTTGGCGGGGGTGGGGACAACATAGAGCCCATTGCAGCAGAAAAAATTTGCCCGAGTCAGAGGATAAACATTGCTTAGCTAGCTCTTAGGAAGCTAGTGCCTAATAATGCTTGATTGATTGACCTTTGAGGTTCTTAGTCCAGATTATCTATAGATGAAGGAGCTAAGGCAGAGAGGGGTCAAGTGACTTGCTGGGTTACACAGGTGCCAGAGCTGAGATTCAAACTCATTTTTGTAGGCCTTCCCTCTAAGGTTACCTTGTATTGTCTTCTTTGTATATATCTTATAGATACCATTACTTCATATGTATCTTTGTATGTGTCTTGTTTATATGTGTATATGTTCAGGGAGGATTAGCATCTCTGGCTGTGAGGGCTTTCTGAGTCATTTTTGGGGCTGCCCATTCACCTTTGGTGCCCCCTGATTCACTGTGGCCCCAAGAAGCTGTAGCATGTGTAAGAATGCTACGCTCTGGTAAAACTGGGCAGATGGGCTAAACCAGCTTGAGGGTAACTGACAGGCCTCAAACCTGTCAGTGAATTAGGGGGATGTCCACCCCAAGCTTGTGAAGACTTCCCCCTGTGGAATGGGTGGATGAAAACAATTTGTTCCAATGGCCACGAAGGTGGGTGAAGCAGGCACTGTGGAGTGCTTAGAGCAAAGTCAGACATCAAAGACTCTAAGATCATCCACTGCATCCTGGGACATTGCCAGTTGTCTTGACTTTTTTTCTTGCCAGTGAACTCTGGGACTGACTCTGGAAGAGAGAGTGAGGCTTGACTTTGTGCAACTCTGCCTCTCTTAAATTCGATTTATGCACAAGTCAAGACATCACTTCATGATGTCATTGGTCCCTCTTCAAAAACAAAGGATGGGGGCAGCTAGGTGGTACAGGGGATAGAGCACTGGCTCTGGAGTCTGGAGGAATGAGCTAAAATCCAGCCTCAGACCAAACACTTGACACTTACTAGCTGTGTGATCCTGAGCAAGTCACTTAACCCCAATTGCCTAAACAAAACAAAACAAAACAAACAAACAAAAAAAAAAACAAAGAATGAACCACAACATACACATATATACCATATCCCAAAAATCTTAGTGCAGCTCCAACATTTAATAGGTTAAATTTTAATAACTTGTTGTTCAGTTGTTTCAGACTCTTCATGACCCCATTTGGGGTTTTCTTGACAAAGATGCTAGAGTGGTTTGCCATTTCTTTCTCCAGCTCATTTTATAGATAAGGAAACTAAGGCAAATAGGATTAAATGACTTGCCCGAGGTCACACAAGTAGTAAGCGTCTGAGGCCAGATCTGAACTCCGGGAGATGAATCTTCCTGACTCCAGGCCCAGCACTCTATCCACTGTACCACCTAGCTACCCATCAGTCCAATAAAGCAGAAGATCTAAGGACCCATAAGTAACTAAGATTTAAGGGGATTAGTCCCTTTGTGGAGTTGCTGCATACTCACTGCTTCGGGGCATTTCCCAATGAGCACTTGATGTCGTGAAGGTCTTCCATGTGACATATTTCTTTGGTCTTGCAGAAAGTCCCGGATGAGCAGCCTCATCAGGAGAAAGATCCAAATCAGGCGCTTAATGAACACCTCTAAGAGGAGGAAGTGCAGGAACCTGTGGGAAGCTGAGTTGAGGAGGCCTGACTTCCCCCCACTTTGATTGCCAGCAAGAGGTTCCTCAGCGAGGACTTGAGAGGGAATCATCTGGGTCTAATGGCTGCAACAGCAGGACCTGCTCCTTCTAGGAGTCCCCTTCTAGGGTCTTGGGATGATGTGGTCAGAATTATACTTTCTCCCTCTCTTGCCGTGAATTAGTGGAGATGGTGCTGATAAAGGCCAGCAGAGCAAGCTGCAGCTCAAATCCTGACTCTGGATGCCTTCTTCCCTCTTAACCCTCATTATTCCATGGACAAAACCTGTAGAATCATTACAGGAAGGAAGTTCCTACAGAAATTAATTTTCCCTTAGTGACTTTTTGACCTTTAGATAAGCACTTTGAATGGACTGGCTGTTACTTTAAGGGAAACAAAACCAAACCCAGTAATTCCTGAGCTGATCAGGTTGGCTACTGTAGACATTGGGAGAAAAGAGTAGTTGACATAGGCAAAGACACTTGGGACTAGGTTCAAACTGTTCAATGTTGGACTCTTTCTCCAAACTGCCTTTCTTCAGAGTTGGTCAAACCAAATATTCTATTTCAAAGATACTTCCTTTTGTCCATCAAGGAGAAATTATTGGTAGGGCTAACAGCTTTGTGGCAGTGAGTGCTAAATACATTATCTATCCCCATGCAGTAGGCTATATTTAGAAACCTCAGCTATTTGATTTTTTAATGGAGAACAAGATTTTACGTAGAAACATCTGTGCAAATAATTTATGGTGACTTGCATAACTCAGTCCTGAGCCTAAGGGCCCCTGCCATAAGTCAAGATGATAATGGTAATCTTCTTATTTTCTTCACATTGTCATGATTTCCAACTATTCTAAGAAATTCAGAGCATCTTCTGAGGGGTGGGTGAGAGGAAGCAGAGGTAAAGGTGACCTTTAAAATAGGTTTTTGATCTGGGCAAGCCCCTTTCCTGGCACCCAGCCTTCAGTTTCTACACAGAGAAATTATCCACATAATCCTCACTACCCTTTCCTTTGCCCTGACTTAACAATAATATTCATCAAACATTTCCAATTTAAAACTTCGCCTTTGAAATCATCTCATTAAGACTGTTATCACATCTTCTACTTGACTCCCCTCTTGGGTTGTGAGGGCTTTTTCTGAGAATAATGGGGAGTGAAGTATTTGAGAAAACACTTGCTGTTGCCAAGTTCCTTGATCTCAGCCTGCTAAGAGCAGGATATCCTGCAGGAAATCCTTGGACCAATGACCCCGAGGAGTTAGCTTTTGTGTCTGTATATGAAATACTCTTGGGAAATACTCTGTGAAGATGCAATTTGGGGATTTTGGGGGGGAAGTGGATAGGTGTTAATGAAAGGCATGAGTGGGAATGTTAAATTGTATCAGGGATAGATATATGTGTGTGTATGTACATATATAATACATACATATGTATATACATACACACACATATATCTCTTACCTATGGAGAGGGGGAGGTACTTAAAATTCCTTACTCCCTTCAAACGGTTTAACAAAATGGTTACTGAATGCTGCCATATTTTACAATGAAATAATATGTATTTAATAATTGTGATAAAATATTATAAGAAAATATATGATTTCCCAAGTAAACTATCTTGTCCTTTGATTGGAAAAGAGGAATGGCTTTTGGGGAGGAATATTCTACTCAGATGACCCTCATGGTAAATGGGTGAACCCTAGTTTCTGCAATGTTTTGCCAATAGAGTGCAAAACCTAGTAGATCTTACCAACTTGCCAGAACTTTTTTTTTCTCTCAGAGCTTTTTTTTTGATAGTGGATTATGTATGTTGTCTGAGTCCAGTTTCACTAAGTTCATAGTTATCGCTCCAGAAAGCTGCCAGGTGAATTTTTAAACCTTGTCAACTCATGAAAAATAGAGGGATTTCCATATGTGGTGGTAAAAGTTACAACATCAATGTTGTCAATGAAGTTGCAAGTCTTTCAAAGTGTTAGTCCTGAAGAATGATACAGCATACACATCTGAGGACAATAACCAAGGTGAAATTGTGAGGTAATTTTGGAGGGCCAAGAGAAATAGTCAATAAATATTTATTAAGCACCTACTACAGGTCAGACACTATGCTAAGTGCTGGGGTACAAAGAAAAGCAAGAGACAGTCCTTGTTCTCAAGGAACTCAGTCTAATGGGGAGACAACATGCAAACAGCTATATACAGACAAGCTAAACACAGGATAAATTGGAAATAATCAACAGAAGGAAGTCTGTTTGCAGTTAGGTAGGAATAGGATTCCGATAATCCAGAAGAGACCCAGTTAGAAGTAGGCCTAACACCGACATTCATGTTGGGACACAATGAGACACTGGCAAGTCTTGAATAATTAACAGAAAGATGTTACTTTGCCCTAACACAGCAAGGATACAACAGCACTTAGATTCTCTGTTGTCCTCATCTCCATGGTGTCTGGTCATCTGGTCAGCAGAGAAGGGTATGGTGATTCAAGGTCTTCAGAAATCTGCCAACTATGGAGGGACCCCAGCTCTCCATTTGGCCAGGACTTTTTATGATGAGCTATATCAATGGAAGCAGGGGCCAATCAAGTCCCAAGGCCAACTTTATTGCCTTTTAGGGAAGACTAGCACCTATTGTAGGGAAACAGGGAACCATGGTCCTATCACAGATTCCTATCCCTATTTATATAAAGAGTTGTGCTTAATTTTTCAGACATGTTGGTTCATGAATATGGCCCATTTGTGACAAGGAAACCTCAGTATGCAGTTTACATATAACTGCTGTAGGGTTTGGCAGCTGTTTGCTGAGCCCATTTGCTTTTTAGAGTTCTGCCTCCAAAAGGGCATGAAGTATTTTCACCAAAACCAGTACTGCTGAATGCCAAGGTGATCAGGCCATTACTGCTATTTGCTACCATTTCAAAGCACCCATCATTTGAAGTTACTTAATGTATCATCTTCTGCCTATCTTGCTTGCTGTCTCCATTTCAGATCATCTTATGGAAGGTATTCAGGTTTTCCTGCTGTTGCTAATCCTTTGCCTGTCTTTTCTGGACAACTGTGCTATAAAAAGTGTCATTTCTGTGACCTTAGAATGTTTTAGCATCTGTTTAATACTGATCTTATCCTTTATGGAAAGATTATATTGAACCTCCGCTCTTCCTCATTCCCACACCCGGATACCTGGGTTAGGGAGGACACTGAGACTTTAAGGACACACTTCAAGGCCTCAAATTATCTGAAGTTACAACCTTCTTGACAAGAGGACTCAAACAGGGCATTTTTTGGACACTTCTCTGGAAATTAATTTTGTTAATTCATTAGTTAAAAGTGCTGGACAGAATGGGGAGACTAAGGGTCACATCCCTCCTCTGGCAACTTCTCTGTTGTGTGATCATGGGTAACTTAAACTCTCCAAGTGTCAGTTTCTTAATTTGCAATAATGGGGACTACAGCTATAGTATCCTTACAAGGTTCTCTGACACTCCAAACAGGCTACATAAAACACGATACAAGTTATTTATAAGTTTTTGTGCCTTTTATTTTTTCTGACTGCCATAATCCAATATATCCTCTCATAACAAAAACAAAGAGAAACAAAACTGACTGCACCCAAAGTCCCCCCCTCTTCCTTTCTACCAAGAAAAGTTTTGCAATCTGGTCTAGGACCAAGATTGGCCACTGCGTTCTACTGCATTATAACTTGAATCCAGCTGCCTTTTGGCATTTGTTATTATATTGTAGCCACTGTAATGTGGTTGTGTTATTAGATTCTTAATGTCTTCATAAGAATCTGAAACATAGGTTTTTACGTATACCTTCCTCCATACCCCTCAGGTATAAGCTGTTGAGGTTTTAGAAGTCCAGAATCACATTTCAATCCCAGTTTACGTCTTAACCCCGCCACAAAAACTTGCCTGATTACTTTGTTCCTCATTAATTTCTTTTCTGAATGCTCATAGCAATCAGAGTCATGCCATAGAGCTCAGGACCTAATTATATAACATCAAGCTTCTTGACTGAAGGCAAGTGTCACATCTATTTCTGTATGCCACTATAGTCCTGAACACATCCAGTACTGATGAATAAACATGTGCTGGGGAGAACAATTAATTTCTTCTTTTTTTTTTCTTCTCTCGATTCGCCTTTTTTTTTTTCTTTTTTTGCCACTTAGGCCTGAT